ATACACCTGCATCTGCCTACCGACCACTGGTGTTCCTCCACGCCCAGCTCGGGGTTTATATATTTTCTAATAGGGTGTGGGGCAGGAGCCTTTAAAACCGGATCAAGCAGGAGCCTTTAAAACCGGATCAAGCACCAAACGTTGGGTCATTTTAAAGGTCTGCAGAGACTTGATTAAGGCAGGGGTGTGGACCTTCGAAAGCCAGCCAAGCCCACCCCGGGGGTTATCTGCGGCCAGTACAGTTGAGAGGGGGAAGGAGTTAGCTTAGCCAAGCCCACCGTTTGGGTTATCAGTGGCTGGCGGAGGGGGTAGGGGTGGGGGCAGGGAGTTATACTGCTGGTTGAGAGTTAGCTCAGAGGCCTGCTGGAGTGAGAAAAAAACCATCTCCATCTAAAGTGGAAGCGCCCAGAGGTCTGATTTCATCCCCGACCTCTTTCCCTATCTACCCACCCGTTTAAGAATTAACTATCTCTTATCTTCCCACAATTCCAGTTTTGTATCAGAAATATATGCAAAATTGCATTCCACTCCACTCATAGGAGAAATAAGAAATAAGAAAACAGTACTTCAGTCACCATGAAAAGGCAAATTAGTGTCTTTCATGTAGGCACAAAAATGAGCATGTGTTACGAACGTTGGTTACTGGTACCGGTGGGGACAGGGCAGATACAGGGCCCTTCAACCGCACACATTTTTACAGAGCTGAAAAACTGAATTGCAGGCCGGCCATGGTGGCACACACCTGCAACCCCAGCACTTGGGGAGGCAGAGGCAGGTGGATCTCTGTGAATTCAAGGCCAGCCTGGTCTACAAAGTGAGTCCAGGACAGCCAAGGCTACTTACACAGAGAAACCTGTCTTGAAGAAAGAAAGAAAGAGAGAGAAGGGAGGGAGGGAGGGAGAGAGAGAGAGAGAGAGAGAGAGAGAAAGAAAGAATAATTGGATGAAACAAACAGATGAAAACTGGTTTGTCTGCAGAGGGGAGAAAAGTCAATCCAAGTGCTCCCCAAGACAGGGCAGTTTGCACAGTCATCAGCTTAGAAAGTGGGGGGGGGGGGGTGGCAGCCCATATGGCTGAGAAGGTGAAGGTGCTTGCCACCGAGCCTGACTCGTGGGTTCTATCCCCAGATCCCACCTACTGGAAGATAAGAATTTACTCAGGTAAATTGTCCTGATAGCCACACCCACGCATGGCACACCCCCTCCCATAAATAAACGAACATGCCTAGGAACAGGCTCCAGACAGTAAATGTGACCTGGAGTAGACATTTCAGACAGTGCCAGGGCTTCATGGGAACAGAAAACCCTTGCATTAGAATATTTAAATAATTGTCTGGGTTTTTTTCTTTCCCCATAAGGTGCTATGCTTCTGAGATTCCCCGAATGACATCACTCATTGACCATACCCGTTTTTGGTACTCTGTAGGATTTCGCACACTTACCACTAAATTGTTTGTAAGGAAGCTGGAGGGGACGCGTGCTGGGGGAGATGTTATGAGAGGGTGTGGTTGGGAGCATAGGGCTCCGGGCAATCCCTGTCACTCAATAGCTGTGGGATCCTTCTGAGACCTCCGTTTCTTCCTTTGAATAGTGTTGAACGGAATTCCAGAAGCTTCCCCGACTCCCCGCTACTACACCTAGGAACAGGTTTCCTTTGTGAAGGGCAGGATTCCTTAAGTGGTCTCCTTTAGATATGCAAATAGGCCGGAGAAGGCAGCCCAGCTCTAGCTAACAGTGGGACGGCCTTTTGGCCCCTTTCAAGTCCTCTGAATACAGAGCTGGTGGCTGAGGACAGATCTCTTGCTGTGGAAGCCTTCTGTCCTTGCTAGGGAAACCCTCCCCCCGCAACACACACAGCGATTGCTGTCCCCAATCAGCTTGGGCCCCGACTAAAATCTACAAGTCATCAAAAGTCTGAGAGTTGCCACAGAATGAGAAAGCCTGAGGGAGTCTATAGAGCTCACTCAGAACCCCTGGACCCTCATCCGACTGCTCTTTGCTGAAGGACGGCTGCAACGGTGAGAACGACAGAAACTTAAACGCCCGAAGCATAGGCTTCTCTGCAGCCTGCGTGGCCTGAGAAGACCCCACCCCGTACTGCGCAGGTCCGCTCAGCAGCGCCCCGGTGTGGGCGGCAGCGAACAGCTTGAATTGCCAGCCGAGACTTTGCAAAGGCTATTTGGGAGTAAGATCTAAAAGGGTATTTGGATTTTTTTTCCCCTCGACAAAGGTATATAAAAGAGTTTACATTAAGAGGCAGACCTAACTTTTACTAAAGACAAAGTCGTGGAGATTATACATGCAAAATGTTCCCAGCGCCAGGCTCCGCAATTGTTAACATTACCACTAATGCCCACCCAGGAAAAGATAGTGAGCATCGGCCCTGGGTCACCCTGAACTAAAGGACATGGCAGGTAGAGCCTTCCTCCCCTAAAGTAAACCATAAAAGTTAGAAAGGTCACTCTGTTCCCTTCTACTTGAGGAACTCACAACAGAAGGGAGTTCTAGGAATAAGGGTGCTAACTCAGACAGCACCACATAAACTTGGCACGTGCCTGTTGAAGGGCAATTACCCAAAGCCTCAGGAGCGGATAGGATGGAGAGTTAATGAATGACACCTGTGGACGTTTCTGATCAGGCGATCCTATACCAACCTGCTGTATCTACCACTTTCAGGGGAACTGACCTTCGGACAGATTCTTCCATCCCCTTCCCCCTCTCCCATCCCCCAAATCCCCAGACCACCTTCGCACGGTCTCACTTCCGCAGAAAATGATCGTCCTTTAGTCAGCTGTTCTGACTAAAGAACAATTCTGCTTCAGGAGGTCCCGGTCTGCTCCCTTCATTTCCACCGAAGCCTCCGTCGTCAGTACCTAACGCCGGTAACCCCAGCCACCAGAAGTTCAAACGCAGCCCGGAAAGAACCTGTTAGGCTTTTCTTGTTGTCTTTTGTTATGCAACCTTGGTGATGGGCCACACCTCTCCACCAGGAAACAAGACTTTAGTGAAAATTTCTGGATCTTCTAGAACAACCCTTATCTTTTTGCCTATTCCAGCAACAGAAGTGTCTTTAGAGACAGGCTGGGTAGAGAAGGCTGGGGACGCACACACTGGTAGGCAGACTGAGAAAAGCCAAGGGCAAGGGTAGAGTGGCTGCAGCAGGCGGGACAGTCTAACATCTCAGTATAGTTTTGGGGACAGATTCCTACCCTATCATCTAGGCCTAGCAAGCCCTGACCATCAATCTACCTGATGCATTCCGACAGTTCAGAGCCTGAAGAGGGCACCCTGACTTGAAACAGGTCCTCTCTCTCTGCAGGTTCAAACAGTGACCCAGGACCTACACATAGCCTTGAGCTAAGAAACACAATCATTCATTCTCTCAGATGTAGGATAAAGGCAGTCTCCAGAGACTAGGCCTGGCTGGAGCCTCAAAGCTAATCAGTGAGCGGCAGAGATCCTGCTCAGCCCCCCAGACCAGTTAGGACCAGATCCTTTCTACAATCTGTTACTCTTGCTTGGAGGTGGGGACACTGACCAGACAAGACTGGATAATACCTATTCTGGTTTTGAGCCCCTTCCTTCCATCAGATAACCTGGAGAATGGTTGGAGGGGGGGTTTCTTTTAGCCCTTTTCCTTTGTTCTAGGAGCCATGGGCCCAACCGGTGGTTGGAGCCGCGTCTCCTATCCCGCTGTAGTGGATATCCTAATAAAGAGCCCTCGACTCTGTATCCCTGGGTCTGGTGTATTTCTACCACCACTTCCGGACCCAAGAACTGGGGATCTGTCAGCAAACTTAGCAGGGCTCCTCCCCAAATTCCAGTCCACCGAAGGCAAATCCTCTAGTCCATTAAGCAGCAGGTATAAGGCTCAGTCCGAGCTGGTGCTGGGGCCTGGGGAATGTGAGCCTCTCCCATTGGGGTTCCTTGGCCTTCCCCCTGTTAATGATGCCTCCTACCTGCCTGGGCCCAAGCTGAGATAGCCTAGCAGGAAGCAAAAAGCTCACAGACTGAGGCTGAGGCTGAGCAAGGCTCAGAAGCACTGAGTGGCCACCATGACCTGCCACCAAGACCCACGGTGCAGGTAGGCTACTTACTGAGTCCCCGGTCCACACGACCCAACTAAAGACAGAGTGAGCCTAAAGCAGGGGCTTCACATTCCTAAACCTCTAAGGCTGGAGATTCAGGCTTGCATGCTACCTAGGTACACAATCAACCATCCAACTCCCTCCCTAGACCTTCGATTAAATTGGTCCTTAGATGTGGCTACACACATAGCCCTGACCCTCCACCCAGCCCTTCTCTCTCTCCCATTGTCCGTTGCTGTTCTGGGGGTAGGTGTCTGTAAGCTTTGAAATAGAGGTGCTCATGGCTTTCTGCCATTTACAGCCCACAGTAGGTCCTGGCTCCTCAAAAGGTCCTGCACTGTTGCAATCCTAAAGTTCTCAGCTTCTGGGAACCAGGCATGCCGTTTCACTGAGCTCTGAATATAATGTGGCCAGTTGACAAAGGGAGGTGCGGCAGACCTGGACCTGGCAGCAGTGGTTGCAACCCTCTCCTTTTTGGTCTCTGGGACCGCGGTAGATCTCTGAGCTGGACACAGCTAGCTTGCTCACTACTACTGTCTCAGGAGATCCTGTCCTGGCAATAAATGCCCTGCCTCCTTTGGAAGGAGCAGCTTGGGAGAAAGTCCTGCACACGGCAGGCAGTCTGTCCTTCCAGATTCTATACTCAGAAAATTGGACTCTACTTTGATGCTTCCACAAGGTCATCAGGAAGCCTAGTAGACTCTGCATTCCCTGCTTAAGACCAACAGCTAAAACATAGACCTGGGCTCAAATCTTGCCTTGACCTTGGCTGATGCTTGGGCCAAGGCCTCGGCTCCACGTAGTCACTGAAACAGCTGCATGCACAGCATGCAGGCTTCTTGTCCCACCACAGCCTCCCTTCCTGAGGACCCTCTAGAGTCAAGACCAAGGAAACAGCTAGTTCAGACACCTTCAACAACCAGTCTGGTTTTATTGAGAAAATAGAGAAGATGCCTTCATCTTTTCCAGTTGACCCCAGCCAGAGTTAGGAGGTTGGCATTCTTTCACAGGGAAAATAGTCTGTGCAGTGCCCCAGAGAAGTAGGGGTGTCAGTGAGGAGGGCTCAGAGTGGGACTGAAAGGCAGGGGTTGAGGGATAAAGGTGCTGGACAGTGAGTGGGGCTGCTGAAGGGAAGCTCAGCAAAAGAAAGAGGTACACCTCCCAAGGCCGTCTCCCTCCAATTCTTCATAAATAAAATTTCACAGTAATAGAAGAATGGGTAAGTCTAGGGCCAAACAGGCCAGTTTCTGGCAAGGGAGTCAGTGTTGGCGCAAGGGTGACCACCTGGGCAGTGGTCAGGTATCACTGTGCCTTGGGGGTGGGGTAGCAGGAGCACTGCTCTTTTGCCCTGTGGCAGGGGCCCAGGGTAGGGCTGTAGGCCACACTGAGGTTTAGAGGAGTGCTGAGGTAGTCAGAATGGCCACCAGTCTGGACAAGGGAAGACAGAGCCAGGAGCCATGCCTCTGCAGCTGACTCCAGGCAAGCCCGGGGCTACACTGTGAGCCTGTGGACCTGCACAGGGCTGGGCTCCCACAAAGGCTGCCTGGCCCTCAGGTAGCCAGAGACCTTTCACAGGAATAGACTTCCCTGTGATGACAAGAGGCAGCCACAGACCCACTGGGGTCAGGCCTAGCCCAGGTACCTGAGCAAATGTTCCTTCAGAGGTCACCAGGACCTCCTATCAGGATAGAGGCAGGCTACAGGCCCAGGCTAGGAAGGACCCAGGTCCTCAGATGACCTCCAGTCAGGGAAGTTCCAGCTCTACCTGGGCCTCACTTTGGGAATTTCTGGGAGTTCCTCTCTGGCTCTCTGTACCCCACCACACCCGGGGGCATAGTAGGCCCAAACCCTTCACCTCCCACAGGGGGCCAAACCTATGCCGTGCACTGAATCTCCAGTCCCAGGACCCCAAGCACTTGAGGACAAACGGTGCTGGCGGCCCAGCAACACTAGAGCACCTGGAACTTGAGGGAACAGGTGAGGTTGCTGTGCACCAGGCCCCACATGGCCAGCAGCTCATCGGGTAGCAGCTTGTGTACCACAAGCATGGACCGGTAGAAGCAGGGCTCCTTGTTCATGCGGCTGCCTCGGACCCGAGAGATGCCAAAGGTCTTGAAGCCCTCATGGCCCGTGGGCTTCACTCCCAGCACCTCCAAGCACATGCCCAGGAAGACGTCGTCAATAGGAAAGAGTTCCAGCGTGTCGCAGGCATGGTGGAGATGCCGAGCGAGGTTGCCAGACATGAGGAAACCCCCGCCGCCAGCATAGGGCGGGTAGGTGGCCTTGCCATACATGACGGTGGGAATGTAGTATTTGTTATCTTTCTTGCGGATGGGCCGAGCGTGCTTCAGGACATCGCCGACAAACAGGTTTTCCTGGGGCTGCCGGTCAGAGAGAAACTCCAGCAGGTTGGTGGGGTTGACAAAGACGTCATCATCACCTTTGAAGACAAAGGGGATGCTGGGACAGTAAATGTCAAGCCACTTAAGGAAGTGGATCTCCTTGAGGGTCAGGTTGAAGAAGCTGTCGAGGAAATCCCACTGTAGGATGTCACCGTAAAGACGGTCCTCGTAGGCCAGCAGCTGCTGATAGTGGGTTCGCTCCTCTTGCTTGGATGCCGTGCCCAGCAGGAAGAGGGTACGAACAGCACCCCTGCCCTGACCGGCTGACTCCCACTCGTGGCCCCAGGTCTGACGGATGACCTCACGGCGGTCGTGTTGCGTAATGACCGACTTGACCACCACGAGGAGATAGATGTCTCCTTCACACTTCTCTGGGTGGTTCAGCAGCATGGGGAAGTAACGGCAGTGCCGGTAGGTTAGGAACTGCCGGAAGTGTGGCTCAAGACCCTGGAACCAGGGCTGATGGGTCAGGTTGATGTTGGCAGAGCAGTTGGTGCTGCTCACATCCCAGAACTGGGGTCCCTGAGGAGCCATGGGGGTGGGAGCCGCCACATCCTTTGGACTCTTCCAGAAGCTGTTGGGGTTGACCAGACTTCCAGTTTTGGGTGGCTCCAGCGTGGGTGGCGGGGGATCCTGTAGGAACTGCGCAGGGGCCATGCTGCGCTGGAACACGGTGACAGCCACAAGGAGGGCCAGGGCCAGGCACACAGTCCTGTAGAGGGTTCTCTTCCTACAGGAGCAGCAAAGGAGGAGGTGAGCCGGCACTCTCATGCCCCTCTCGAGGATTAGGTGGCCACCGATGGGCCTGCAGGGTCACAGGATCCTGATTCCTTTCTCATGCTAACTTTCTAGCTCAAGTGGCACCAAGAAGAATCAGCTACCGGGGTTCCAAACCCAAGGACTTTGGGAAGGGGCCATTTAACCCTCCAAGTATCCCCTATTTGGGACAGAACACAGGATAAAACACCGGACATGAGCTCGGGGAAATGCTTTCATTTTACCAGGAGGAGAGACCTCTGGCCATTCCCCAGTGCTCTGGTTTCCATTTCTAGTTCAGACTTAGGCATGTGCACAGCAGGACCAGCAGTGTCTCTGAACCACTCACTCTGGGGGGGGACAGAGTAGCCTCATTGCAGCTTTTGGGGAGTCCCCCTGTGGTGTGAAGTGGGGAATGGGTTCTGGCTTAGTAGCCCCCAACACAGCCATCTCAACAGAAAGGAGTCACTTACTGAAAATGGGAGGCCTCCAAGTGGATGGAGTGTGGACAGATGCCCTCGTGACGCCTTACCCCTAACGTTAATATTCCACAACAAACAACAAGGTGCCTAGCCTTCAGCCCTGGGAAGGACTCCCACTCTGGGACCCTTCCCGGAGGTAATCCCACTCTTCCGTGAGCTGTCAGAAACCCCAGCTCTTCTCAGGAGTGATCCTGCCTGTGACCTGTTCTCCTATAATCGTTTCTCCTTGGCTCACACGGGGGGAACATATGTGGGTAGGGGGCCTTCCAGGGCTGGGCAGCAGAGAGATGACTCTCCCCTCCAAGGCAGGAGGCACAAGAATCAGGGAGCCATGAAGTAGGTTGGGACACCACCATTGTCTAAGCCTTCGGAGACACAAGGTGACTGAAGGTTGAGCCCTCCTCCCCACATTCAATGGGCTTTTCCTAAGGGCTCCAAGACTTCCCGGCCACCAGGTTGGATGGAGAAAGACAGAAATGACTTGGGGTACCCTGCTAGGTGGTGAGACCCAAAGTTGTGCAACCCTGGGAATGGGAGCAGAGGATTCCAAACCCAGTCCTCCAGGTCCAAGCCCCAGCTTTAGAGTGGGGGTAAGGACCAGTCCGAGAGGCTGCAGCCAGGGCCCTCGCTCGCACATACCAGTCCACTCCATTTCTAAGAGCAAAGCCGGGGAGGGAGAAGGGTCGAGGAGGTCCGGAGAAGGGGCCACAGGAGGGAAGAGGGGCCGGAGGGATTAGGGGAGGGTGTCTCTTGGTGGGACGCCGGGGCCGGAGAGACCTCGCATACTGGCTGCCCGAGCCGGGGCCGGAAAGCCCAGCGTGCGCCCCGCATCTCCCACATCCCACCTGCCGCTCCGGCGCCGCGCCCTTCTCCGCATCTTCAGCCCCCCTCCGCTGCCCCGGGAAACCGAGGTCGGGCCCCAGGACACCCTGCGTGCATCCCCTGAGGTCGGCGGGCTCGGGAGGAGGTGAAGCCCGGAGGTGCCCTGCGCCCCACCGGGACCCCGACTTACCACAGAGACATGGCGGCCCGGTCCAGGGTGGCGGAGCGGGGCGCACGGATCGCAGCTCTGGGCGCCGCGGCAGCGGACGGCGGGACGGGACCGGGCCGCGCCCCCGCTGAGACTTTCCTTTTCCCGGCGGCTGGAGGAGGGGCCGCAGGGGCGGCGGCTCAGGTACGTTAACCCTTCGCGCCCCGGCTCGCTGCGGAGGCAGCAACTCCGCTCAGCCCGGGTCACCTCCGAGGCACGCCCCGCGGGATCGCGAGGGGAAGAGACGGAATCTCAGGGACCTTGAGGATCACCAACATCCTGAGGCGGTGACTTCCCCGCTGGGCCTTCCCGGGGTCGCCGGCCTCTCCTCTTCGGGGCACGTGGGGACGTCGGACGCCGCCCACCTCCACGCCCACTGGGCGCCTAGCGGCCTGGCTGCTTCTTTTTGGCGTAGGGCTGGTTGTGTAGGGAGGGAGGCAGATAAAGGCTGTTCCCCCCAGTGCTTCCTTCTCTCTGCCCTGTCTACCTTTCTTATCCAGGCTCGCTTTCAGTCCTGGTTGGGGATCTCAAGAGGAAATGATGCTGGGGTCTCTGTTAGACCCCAGCCAGCCTAAGGCACCCAGGAAGGCTCTGGGTTTGCCCACTCTTTTCTCCACCCCCACCCCTACCCCCCACCGCCAATAGAAGGCCTATTTGCCTCTGCAAATACTCCATTCTTTTGCTAGAGTGTTCGCACATGCTTTTAATCCCAGCAGGTGGATCTCTGTGAGTTTAAGGCCAGTCTGGTCTACGCGGTGACTTCCAGGCCAGCCAGCGCTCCCTAGTGGGACTGTCTCAAAACAAACAAAAAGCTCCTTCTTGTATTGCCAATAAAGCTTTCTGCTGTCAGCCACATGTCTGGACCCATATTGGGGTCTCGATCCAGGAAGACTTCAAAAATACCCACAGGATCGAAGAAATGGACACTTCCTACAGTCCACTCCTAAAACCCAGCGCTTCTATCTGTCAAGCCTGGTTCTAGGTCCCCAGCATCAGTGGCTCGGTTGGTTGTGCTATGGTTTGTTCCTATCTTACCAGGAGGTAGAGTCAGGGACACATACCCTATGGATGAAGCTGCAGCCTTAATACACAAACCCAGGAGGCCTGCCTGCTCTGGAGGTGGTCCTTGAGTCCTGCCTCAGGCATTTCTCAGAGAGTAGGAATGGGGAACTACCTTTCCGTGTTGTCCCTCTTCCCCAGGGTGTACAGGGAGACCAGAGAGTAAGTCCCAAGGGTGAAGATTCCTCTTGGATTTTCCTCAGTGATCCTTGGGCTTGGGGTGTGTGCTGAAACATACAGTAGAATTTTCTGGAATGTTGTAAGCTTCAGTCAGAAATGATGATGGCCTTCCGGCCAGAATGTCAGTGGAGAATCCTGGGACAATGCCCTCTTTAATCCCCCAAGATGCCCTGGACTGAAGCTTAGGTCTCTCTAGCCCCTAGGAGTCACTCTAGTCCCACTGTCCCAGGCCACCCGTCCTTCTCCTCCTAGCCTGGCACTGGCCACCCATCCCATCCCCATGTCACTCCACCACCAGGGATATTGTGTTTTCTTTCATTTGTCTTGGCACGCAGTCCAGGCTGGCCTTGAACTGCAGATCGTTTTGCCTCAGCCCCCTGAACGGTAGGGTTACACCTGGCACCACCCAAGCTTGGGGGGGTGTCCTTTGTTCTTGCCCTGCAAGTGTGGCTTTGAGGAGGAGCAGGTGTTGTGTCCCAGCTGAAGAACAGGCCACTTGGCCTCTCACCGACCTCTCGCACTCCAGTGTGGAGTGTGGAGTTTTCTCCAGGTGCTAGGTGAAGGTGGACACAGGTGTTTCTGGTAAGGCGTTTGTGAATTCAGATCTGAGAGCCAGAGGGTTGGGTGTTGGACTAATCCTCTGCACTTCCTGGCTGCTATTAGGGGGCAGCTAGCTTATCCTCTTGAGGCCTCAATTTCCTGTCAGTTCGGAGTTATGTGAGGTGACGCAGGGGAAGCAGACACATCAGTGTCCCCTACACGCAGAGCCTTATGATTGGTGGCTGCTTTTGATATTGTGATCACTAACAGCTGGCCTGCCCCGGGGGATCCTGGGACCACAAGGGAACATGGAATCTGTCACCAGGGGAGCTGCCCAAGGTCCTCTTGGTGTTTTCCAGTTGAATCTGGTCAGTCAAGAAAGTTTGTCAGAGAATCATTTGGTCTGTGCCTAGGATGAATTCAGAATGGGGAGATGAATGACAAGTACATGAGTCCACGCATACGTGTGTGTCCAGGCTCTGGGCTCTTTTCACTGTCTCCCCATTCTGCTTTCTCTGAGCTGCATGGGCCTGTGCCTACCCAGAAGCACAGTGTCTCCCCACTGCTAGGCTCATTTGTTCTGGCCCCCTCAACCTGTCCAGCCATGAGGGCATAGCAGAGGGCTATGGATTGTCTCAGAACAGCTGGGGCCGAGCAAGGCCAGTCTGCAGGGGACTCTGCCACTGCTCCCCGTGCTGTGGGTGCAGGCATAGTGGGAGGAGATGGCTGTTTCAGGAAACGTTGGTGTGGGTGGAAGAAGGGATTGAATAGGAGTCCCGAAACCATCGAGTCACTTTCTGTACCATTCTCTTGCTGCCCCGGAGGTGTGCTCAGCGAGCTGGCACGTGAAAGTGCACTGAGAAACACCCCTTCCTCCTTCCCTATTTCTTCTGATAACTTGCTTCTCCCCCAGCTCACATTTCCCCTCTCCCTGCTACGCTCTCCCCATCCTCCTTAGGTCTGCAGAGACTTCATCTGTGGGGAAACACTGACCCATGAGAGGGCACACTGGGTAGGTACGATTGTGTGTGGGGGGCTGCCCTGGGTCAGAAAGAACAGGAGCCCTGGGCACCTTGGAGAGGGCCCACCGTGGCGGCGGAGGGGTTAACAAGCCTGGCCGGTTGCGGCCACTTTAGTTCAGCGGTGAGCTGCTGAAGGGTATGTGAACTAGTTTTAGTTAGTGTTACACACCAGGGGTAGCCGGGTAGCCACAGCTGGGGCTTCAAATTCAGCTGTCTACACCCCCAGTGGGGTGGGGGTGGGGCAGTGCATTGGTGCTGGAGGGTCAGGGGTCGTCTGGTGGTAGCAAGAAGAGCTGCTGAAGGTGTCATTTCCTGTCAAGAAATACGGCCTGCTTCCTCTGCCCGTGCCAGACCAGCTCCATGGGGCACTGACCCTGGGACGGGGTCCTCTGTGACCTCAAGGCTGGTCAGTGTTGGTCAGGGTGACCTTGAGGCTTGCCCCGACATGTTTTCCTGTGCAGACCTTGACAGGGGTTTCTCCAAGCTCAGAGCCATGGTAAAATGCCTACTCTGAGTCTTGTTCTACAAGTTTTCCGTGGGTAAACCTGGGTCCGAGACTTGGTTTCTGATGAGGAAGTGTGAGAGTGAAACCTCCGATCCTCACAGGCCACAGGTGTCCACTACCGAGATCCTGATACAGTACAGGGTGGTACTGAAGGGGTCAGGGGGACCCCAGCGATACCAATCAAGTCAGCAATGGAAGAGTACCCACAGGCAAACTGCCTCCCCCAAATGGAGTCCCTCAGGGACCTGGCTGTGCTGAGGTGAGGCAGGATCTGGAGCTGGGGAAACACTTAGGGATGAACAAAGGCCACATGTCTCCTTGGAGGCTGGCTCCCCTTTATTTTTCAATTTTTTAAAATTTTATTTTATTATGTATACAATGTTCTGTCCACATGTACACCTGAACATCAGAAGAGGGCATCAGATTTCATTATAGATGGTTATGAGCCATCATGTTGTTGCTGGGAATTGAACTCGGGACCTCTGGAAGAGCAGAAAGTGCTCTTAACTGCTAAGCCATTTCTCCAGCCCCTATTTTTCAATTTTAAATGTTCACGTATATATTTAGTTGTGTGTCTATGTGTTTGTTAGTGTATGGGTATGTGTGTGTGTGTACATACATGTATGTACGCATGTGGTGTGTGTGTGTGCATGTGTGTATGTGTGTGTGATGTATGTATGTTGTAGTCAGAGGACAACTTTCTGGAGTCAGTTCTCCTTTCATCATGAGGCTGACAGGCTTGGTACAACTGCTGAGCCATCTTGTAGGCCTTGGTCTTCTTTGTAAGTCAGGGGCCCAGGAAGGAGCAAGGAGTAAGATGGAAGGAGATGGGAAACCAGAGAGTAGGGAGGGGGGTGGCTTCTGTCTAAGAGTCTAGCTGCACTCTGGGAGCTGTCTTCAGCCAAGGGGTCGAGAGAAGGCTGTGCCCTGCCCTGAGCCACTCCATAGTGTACGCAGCAGTATTTTCCAGGCTGTGCCTGGCCCTCAGAGACACTATTCCACAAGCAGCTTTGGCTCCATTTTGAGTACAAGTGCTACTGTACGTGAGATACGGACAGATAAACAACATATTCCTGAAAGTGGAAAGGGTGTCACCCTTCACATTTATCAAAGTAAATTGAGACCGTGTGAGCACATAAGCAGAGTCATAGCAGGAAAATGAGGCCTGAGAGCTTAAGGAACACACCAGACAGAGGAAACAACGTAACACCATCATCTGGGTCCCATGAAGAGGCGGACTCCTAACACTTCCATAGCTATGGTCCCCCTGACCTGTCACCTCACCGCCTTACGTGTCAGAGGACTGACAGAAGTTCTGACTCTTTAGGAGTCTCGCCTTGGCTGGCTCCCTGCAGTTGACACAGCCTTCTTGAACTGCTGGCTTTCCATTTGTCTGTCCAGCCCTCTGGACTGGTCTTGATCCTCACTCCTTCAGCAGGACTCAAGGTTGAGGCTCAGTTTCCTTCTGCCCTGGAAGCCATGCTCTGTAGTGGCAGCGCTCAGTAGCATCTCCTGAGGCTCTCCAGCCTACCCCCCTTCCCCACCCCACCCCCAACTCCTTTTGTGTTCCTATTGGCTTCTACCTCTCAGGTCACTTTGAAATTCCTTCAGGGTTTTAGCTTCCAAAGAGTCCCAACAGGACTTAAATGGAGGACACCGTTAGCTCTGAACCCCCACTCCCGCCTCCTTCTATTTCGCTCTTTGCTCCTTCAGGCCTGCTGGGACCTCTTTAACCTTAGTGGCCATTCTGTAACTTACAGCTGTACCCATCTGCATAGATTGATTGACTATGCCAGATGTAATGTGTGACCTGAGTTAATATTAGTAATTAAGGTCTGAGTGAAAAAGACTGTGTTTTCCTCCACCAGTGCTGGCAGTGGGGCTGACTGATGAGTTGCCATCACTGAAACTTCTGTACCTTGTGAATTTGTTATTCAATAAACTCCTACGTTGTAGGAAGGCACCAACACGGTACGCTATGTTTCGGACAGAGCATACGCAGAACGCCAAGGAAGACTGGGCT